ACGTAAGACACAAATCTCAGAACTATTCCCCATTGTATTTACAAATATTATCAAATTTTACAAGACCATGAATTTTCATAAAAAGTGACATTTTCAAAAAGCTTCTCCTGCTTTAATCCTCCTCCTTTCTTTTGATAGGATTAAGTTCTGAAATGGCAGACTGTTAAATAAGCAGACTGAAATGCCAGCTGTGAGGCGTTTAACTACTTGTATTTACAAATTAATGTTTTACAGTTGCTTCAATTTTGACATTACAGTTCAATATCTTCAGGCCATTCATTTCAGGAGGTGCTGAATTTGACTTACATTTCTCATTTTACATTTGTATGTTATTGCATTAGAATACCTTTAAGTTTCCCTTAAACTGTAATAAAGGAGATTTACTTTTATGAAAGACTGAGAAATATCCTTTTGCTTTTAAAGTGTCCCACCTAGTTTATCTACAGCAATATCAACATTACTGATAAATTTTCCTGCAAAAATACATGTGGTAGTGCAATCTCCCAGAAAGAATGAAGATCATGACCTATAAACGTATGTGCACACGTACATGAGCCCACACATTCAGAATGCAGTATTTAGAGATGGACGTCACTGGTCTTCCCTATCAATTACTCCAGTGTTCAGCACTCAATGTGCAGAATAAAGAGGGAAATTTGCAAGTGGAGTTCTTGAAGTGATGGGAACTTATCTTAATTGGGAAATTATTTCTGTTACATTATTTCATAATATACCTGTGGGCTTCCAAGACAACTAAAGCAAACAGAAATCTGTATGTGCTACTGCATGTAGTGTTTTAGAGGAAAATACTTACTCTGGAAAACATGAAATGCAAACTCTGTATTTAAGTTTATATTTATAGAAGACAGAACTGCATACATAAAAACTATGAACACAAAACTGTAGCTGTTCCTACAGCACCAGCTCAAATACAGTATTAGTTAAAATGAATATAAAGATGTACCATAACTCCAGTTCAATCTGGATTATTTAAAGTTCACTACTTTAATCTTAATAGAAACTTTCTCTTGTGGTTTTCAACTTCTATATAGAAGACAGACCAAAGAAAATTTGGCATAGATATGTTTTATTTTCCACCACTAAGCAATCTGTGTAAAAGTTAGAAATAAGGACTGCTTTGAGTTATCGGCATTTTGTATTTGTTGACATGTCTAATTTCTACAACTAGCAATATCTAGATATCTGATGAGGCACATCATTTGATGTTCTACAAAGCAGAAGAGCAAAAAACAAACAAATAGTTTGAAAGTTTGGAAGAAACTGGAACCCAGGAGGCTGCCTCACGATTATTTTCCGTAACTGTAGCATTACTTAAGAATTGTGATCCCATTCAGCAGTCCAAGACAACAACGGGAAAAGACACAGATGCCCACAGAGAACGTTCAAGAGTGTGCACATGCATAGGTGATCTCCTAATACTCTGCATTCACACCACCAACAAAAAGCACAGACTATTTGCAGTATATACACACCTCCTGGCTATAAGAGCAAGCAGAACACAGCAGTCTACTGACAAGAGCTTCTATGGGTCACGGAAGACTAATTTACCCATCAGAAGAATCGGTACCTACAGAAAATGAACAGGTTCTGCTTAACCTGCTGGTCATGTTCAGGAGTTGGTAGGAAACAGGATTTCTTATTTCTGGACAACTACATTCTTCATGCACTGCTTTCAGCACTGCTGCGGTCACAGACAAAAGTGTCACCCCTCTCCATACTGTGAAAAGCAGCATAGCTGGAGAGCAGTCAAGGCCCTGCAAGTTTAACACAGCCAAGAGTCCCCTCTAAACAACTGCAACCCAAGGAAAACCCAACAATTCTTTCAGGTTGTGGAGATCAAACCAGGGTTTATAACTTTCGTCTCAATGGACACAATCATGAAAAGTCATGATGCCACTTACTTAGATTTAACATCTACACATCTAACTACCTGCAGTGTACCAAAATTCCTGCCCAGCAATCCGGTGCTGTCTAGCAGCCTAATTACCACATCTTATTCACACATAATTTAAGTTTTGCATAGCGCTGTAGTGATTAATGTTAATTCCAGCAGCATGTACTACTAATTAAGTTATTTAACAATGTTTACATATTTCACACAGGAATGTGCCAAATCATCTCTCTCTGAAGTCTTACTGCTGTTTCGAATTGATTTGATAAACACTTACAGGCATAAAACACCTTTGTATTATAACAGACACTTCAATAATGCTTTGGATATGTTCAAATACACAATCTGTTTTTCAAACTCAATTGTATCATCTATGAATATTCCATAAATAATAGAATCAGATCAAAGTCTCACCAACATTCATTACAAAGTATTAAACCTGTCTAATCTCTTATCACTGCTGCTAACATAATAGAAGAATGAAAATGCCACAGTATTAAGCACCGAAAGTTCTCAGAATTTTCCTCAGGGACACTGTGGAACGTAGACCAAATCAGATTATGCATTTTAATGCTAATATGACGCTTTTACAAATTAGATAGTTTTAAGCCAAAACATATTTACTGTCCACTTCCATTTAGTCTATCATTCCCCTTTAGAATAAAAAACAAATTTGGAAACTAACAACTTAATCTCAATCATTGCACACATCAGCATTAAGTGAAGGATTTAATATTATGAAGATATTAAGTAACGTGATCAGCTGCATTATGATTAATATTGCATTATAGCTATAAGTCACAGAAAACATTAATAAGATAAGTACATTTTTGTCTGGAAGACACTATTTTTTCTTTATAGTAATAGTGACCTATTTTCCTGAGAAACTGTAACTGCATGAATGTTAAATAAGTTCCATCATTAAGTGTGCTATCAACACTTCCTATTTTGCTGAGGGAGTTTGTAAGGCTCTTGCCACCCAGCAAGATCTCCTGATGTTTTATGAATTAACTTGCATATTTAACCTTTTTTTCCTAGGGAGAGAAACTTCTGTCATTTCGCTATGTCTGTTGAATATAAATGGAGAAGCAAGGTAGTTCTGCAAATTGCTGGTTCTCCCATTTCCTTATTCTACTGTGTTAGGATTCCGAGATGCAGATTCTTAAGGCGCAGATGCTCAGGCCACCTGCTTAGTCACCCGGAAGCCAAGGTTGAGCACATCAAAATCATGACACTGATAGCAGGTCCCTGGTCTACAGATTCAGCAATTCAGATCAAGGAGTGATCTGAAGAATGCTCTCTGGCAGTGTTTGGACAATTCTTAGCGAGGGACTAGACGTAAGATAGATAAAACTTCTGTGCATTGAGGCCTGGATTTACAAAAGCTTCAGGCATTTTAAAAACTTGTCATTAGGGTTTAGGAATTCAAAGAGAAGATGGATTATTGAGAGTCTCACCCTAAGTGCTTTGGTATAGTTTTACACAGGAGTAATTCCTTTCCAATCGTCATTAGTCTAGTCCTGCTGCCATCTGCTGTCACAATCGCAGTGTCACCACACACTACGGAATGCTCACAACCACATGAGCATCAGCAGTAGTGTCAGGAATGGGTAAACAGGAGGTTGAGACAGACCCAGCTGACTGGTCCTGAACTGTCATAGGCTTCTGAGATGAAAACTTGCTTCCACAGCAAAACTTAAGCAAGCTCTTCTCAGAAGCGTGAACTGTCATAGGCTTCTGAGATGAAGTTTTGCTGTGGAAGCAAGTTTTAGCAAGCTCTTCTCAGAAGTTTCTCACTGCACAGAGATTCCTTGCTGATTCCCTTCCTGCCTCTCCCATACTTCTCTTAAAAACCTAATTGCAACCAAGTATTTGTTCTTGCTAAGAGAGGAAGGATGAATCTATACTGCCCCTTCAAGTATTTCAACTGACTAAGAGCACAGCACCTAGGACAACAAGAATAGGCCACTGTTTTTGTTGCTCATTCACAAAGTCTTTTAGGCAAAAGTAAGTTGAAAACAAGCATCACAGCACCCGTCAAAATTTTCAAAACAATGCAAAATGCATTCTTTTTAATTTCATAAACTGGATAGGATGCTGAAATTCTACATTGTTGTCACTCCACTGGGAAAATGACCCTCATTTCCCAACAGAGCTTCAGTCTGTGTTCCACGGCGCAGTAAATACAACAGAAGGTACGGGGCTTAAAGCTAGGGGCCCTCAAAGCAGACAGTAAAATTTAGAATGCACAATAATTTTATTCTACTAATTTCTTTGCATACGAGGGCTTTTTAAAAAGGTTTATAAGACTTCACTGTTCTGTTACAATGGGCTTATTACTTTTTGCTCAGGGTAAGCTCAGTGCAGTCTGATGACTAGCACAGTATTGCTACTGTGAAATTTAAAGGCTGCTCTAGTAGGGAGAAGAAAAAAGTCTCTCATTTCCACACAAAAGGCAGAAATGCAATTTGTAGGCTGTATGCTGCTAAATTGCATGTTGTCAAGTACGATAATTAGTAACAGATTAACTTACAATACCACTAACACTCCTACTTTCTATATTTGCAGACACGTATAAGTATTTTTTCTTCAGCAGACAGGGTAAGTTTTATATGCTCCAAAAATTGAGCGGTATATGGAAATTCCCTCTGCATTTCCTCAAAATACAGAGGAGGGAGATAAATAAATGGGTTACTCTGATCACACATGTCTTCAACACTCATATCAGCCTGGAATGCATTGCCCAGTAAGAGAATCCTATTCCCTACATCTAAATATTCATTTTTCTCCTCCAACAACTGGGCTATTAAATGTATATTTCACACTATTAATTTTAATGCAGACAGACAGTTGATAATTTAAATATTCAGGCTAGGTATGTTTTCAAGCACAGTTGTGATAATTGAACATGCAGCTATATACACATCCAGGTCAATTTGACAGTTAAGCTTTGTATTAAAGAGTAAACAAAAAAGCATAAGGGACTTTTGCTAAACTATCCACTGACAGTCCAAAAAATACCTAGAAAATTGCTTTCTAGGCAATGTATTAAGAACAACAGATGTACTGCAAAACGCCAAGACTTTACCGTTTTAATAGAACTCCTTGATTTTTCTTCCCAAACATTGCTGCTCAGCTCCATTGTGCAGTGAACATTTGTTTCTCTTTCATAGGATCCAAATATAAGTAACCTGAAATAGGAAAAAAAAATATATCTACTATCCATCTAATATATTCCACATATCCTAAATATTTTCAACTCATCCTTCTCCATACCTAGTCTCTATTGCTATATTCAAGGTATACAAAAACATAAGGAAGTGCATGTGAGAACGGACAAGCACAGCCTTACAAAAAAGGAAAGGCACTGCCACCCTCTAGTGGGAGAACTCTATAATGGCCATTCCAAATTTTTAGCTGGTTAAAGCATTTAACAGGCAGTTCAGTGTTTTCCCACCAAAGAGAGAACTTGCCTTTTCCTTTTTTTTAAAGCAGAAAAACCTCACGCAGTTCCACTCTCAGAAGACTCGACAGAGATCAGAGTCAAAATTCTACAGGTGTTTAAGAGTCCATTTCACTGAGATCCTCCTAAATATGATTTTTTTTCATTATATTCAGAGAAAACAAAAGTGTGTCTTCGTGAATGTCTCCATACTGCAAAAAGCTCTTCAGGTAAATATCAGTACTACGAAAGCAAAAAAAAAGCAATTCTAGGATATAGCACTAAAGTTATACACAGCAGATCTTATAGTAGCTAGAGGTAGATATATGTTTTGAACTGAACTCTCAGACAACCCTCTTACCCTTTCTAGAAGGATCATCAAGGGGCTTTTTTGTCTCTTAAAAGTTTTTTTTCTATATACTTTTGACATAGATCGCTTCTAAGCTTTCATCCAAAGGATCTTATTTTGAAAGTTACACAATCCTTGAATTGATACAGGAACAAAAGTTGGTAAAGAAAAAACACATCAACTTTCTCTGTGCATCGTGATGCTCTTAAATATTTAACTAAGAAACATTATTGATGACCAAAAAGTGCCCAGCTTTCCAGACATGGAGATATGCACTGAAAATATACTTAAAAAAACAAGTTCTATATACTTCCACTATGACAATGCTATCTTCAGCTTGGAACCTGAACACAGAAGAAACAGCATGCTGTTACAAGGCTGTTACAAGGGGAGATGGAATACAAAGTCAGCATCAAAATTCCTGCTCTGAATTGTACATAGAAATCACATAATCGGATCCCATATTGAGATGGGATATAAAAACCTCCCAGGATCCTGAGCAAAGATGAAAAAACTCAAAGTGATCTTTTATTTTATGAAATTGGAAAGATATCCAAAAGAAAAACCACTTTCAGGTAAGCCGTATAGTTTAGTGGTGTACATTAGGAAGTTACAAACATGCCACTATGAATTCTCTCAAATGTAAATGTAAACTACACTATATGCTCCTTCTGGTGTATGCCCAAAGACAGGTGAGCTCCTGAGGATTTTGTGACCTTGCAGCATCATTAGATAAAGAATTATCTTGAAAGGAAAAAAAAAAAGAAAAAAAGAAAAAA